AAATTACCCATAGCTCCCAGGCTGTGCAGGCTGGGTGGGTTAGCCATGGGAAATTACCCCTAGTGCCCAGGCCTGTGCAGGCTGGGTGGGTTAGCCATGGGAAATACAGGGTTACAGGGATCAGATAAGGGGTCTGGGTCTGAGTGGGATGCCCCGTGTAGGGTCAGTGTGAATTTGTTTGGCTGAATGGTCTGCTTCCACCTGTAGTGATTCTATACGAGAGCAGTCAAACCCCAGCACAACGCTAGCACCAAAAATGAAGCTTCTAGACCAATTCCAAATAAGAGTTGGATGTGCATTTTGCTTTTTGTTTTAAATTTATTGAACACAGAGATAGAGGTCTATCAAAAAGAGGTGATTGGGAGGTGATCAATGTTAAAGATGACACCACACACACACACGTACACGCGCACACACACCAGACCCCACAGATCTCTCAATTTCAAGATATCCCTCTGGCCCTAAACCACCCCTTTCCCCCCTCAACACGACTGCCCCCTTTTTTTCTTAACATGAATGCACTCTGTGCAAAACATCACTGGTATATAAAATGGACTAATCTCTTTAACGTAACACTTTAGTTCCTCCAGCCAACGGGGAAAGAAATGCTGTAGTGCTCAGTTGGCAGGATGTCACTTTACAACACTGCATTAGCAAGCACCAACAGGTAACACAGATCACGCTCACAGGTGGGGAGGGGGGAAGAAAGGGGGTATTCAAAGGAAAGTGGGTAGTTTTGGGAATGGGATGCATGCTGCTCAGGGATGACAGGACGACGAAGGGATAATGCGGTGGTTCTATTAATGAAGCACCAAGAGATTTTGAACAGTACAACAAATATGTCCAGGACTGTCCTCCAAAGCTGCTCTCGTTGCATTTCACTCCCAGTTGGGAAACTTTCCTGTGGATTTCCGAAATTTTATTTTCTCTTAGAAATACCAGGATTACAGTTTTTGTGTGTGACTGTCAAAGATCCGTAGCAGAAAGAAGTGTGAAAGAGTTATGTGTTGCAAAACCTCCTGGAATGGAGGGTGGGTGGGTTTCTAACGCCTGGGTGTTTTCTGTTCTTCACGCTTGTGGGGTTTGTGTTCACAGACTTTTTTTTTTGCTCCGCGATTTTTGCCTCCTGCCTTGCCGGCCCGGGAATCAGCGCACCGGGCGCCGGTAGTTACCATTGATCTCCGGGCTGATGGTGACAGCCTCGGCGCCCAGGGGTAAGCGGTCGCTGTACTCGGAGCCCGCTTCGAACTCCTCCTGGGTGTTCGCTTTGCTCTGCGAGCCGGCTAGGGATTCGGGCACCTCGCTGGCATCCTCTTCGCTGGCTGGGTACAGCTTCTCGGAGCCGGGGAAGGAGACGCTGGCCTGGATAGCGCCGGTTGCGTCCCCTCCCTGCAGCTCCCCGGGACCCTGGCTCTTCATGATCAGCTTGTAGGTCTTCCCCTGGTATTTGTAGAGGAGGTGGCAGCAGCTGGCACCCAGGAGCGGCACAGTAGCTAGCGCCAGCAGAAAGCAGCTCACCACCACCATGATGAGCAGCGACGGGATCTTCCTCCTGGTGCTGAAGACGACTTGCACTTGGCATTCTTGCCCACGGGAGGTCAGGCACATACTGTAGTTGGTACCCGGCCTCAGACCCTGGAAACGGTACGAGTTCACCCCGCTCTCAATCATCGACCACTGCACCACGGCGGCCGCTCGGCCCTTCTCCTCCGTGCACAGGTAGAGCATACGCAGCTTGCTGGGGCCCGGGGAGCTCTGGAAAGGGGTGAGCTGGACCCTGGCGTCTGTCTCGGTCACCTCCAAGGCGATGAGGCCGAAATCGAAGATGTGCTCTTTCATGGAGGAGCTGCGGTTGAAGGCATGGTTGGAGGTGAAGTGGGTACCTGGGTGAGGGGAGCAATTCTGGCCGGAGAGGGTAGGGGGGGCGGTGGTCCCTCCGGGGCTCAGGGTGGAGGTGGAGGAAGCTGGGAGGGAGGCTCTCTCGGGTTTTAATACGCTGTTGCCCGGCTCGACCCTAAGCCCGGGCACTTGTTTTGGGGTAGGCCTGCTAACCCTGATTTCCAGGGAGGATTGGTTACTGCCCGCCGAGTTAGTGGCCACGCAGCTATAACGACCCTCCTGGCTCTTATGGAGCCTGGGCAGGAGGAGCGTACCGTTCTTCAACACCGACACCTCCCCGCCCCCTTCCCCTTTCCCGTCCCCGGGGCTCAGCTCCTGGCTCTGGCCGAACGGCCGCAGCGTCCAGCGCAGGCTGGGGGGAGGTTTCCCGGTGGCTGTGCAATGCAGGGCGAGGCTGGTACCGGCTGGGAAAACCGAGCTGGGCCCGGTGCCGGGCTGAGAGCTGAGAGTGACCGAGGGGGAGCTGCATTGCAACTCGGGTAGGTCCACCACCGGGGAATCCTTGAGCTCGGGAGGATCCCAGCATTGGATGCTCTGACTCTCGGGGATGGAGATGAGAGCGTCCAGGATCCAGCTCTTCAACCACAGCAGGCGGCACCCGCAGGAGAACGGGTTGCTGTAGATCTGCAGGTGGGATAGGGAGCTGAGGGGCTGAAAGACCCCTTCTTGGAGGGTGTGGAATTGGTTGTTGTTAATGCGGAGGGAGCGCAGGTCCCGGAGACCGGAGAAAGCGGTCTGGGGTAGGTTGCTCAGTAAGTTGTGGTTCATTTTGAGGAGTTGCAGCGAGCTCAGGTTGGCCAGGTCCCCCCAAGGGAAGGTGCTCAGCCGGTTGTGGCTCAGGTCCAGGTTCTTGAGGGGCCGAAGCGGCGCCAGGGCCCCTTCCTCTACCCGGCTCAGTCCGTTGTGAGCCAGCCACAGGGAGGCGACCTGAGCCAGGCCGGCGAACGAGGAGCGCAGCAGCGAACCGATCCGGTTGGCCGACAGGCTCAGGGTGGTCACGTTCGGGGGCAGCCCCGCTGGCACCGCCGCGAATTCCTTGTAGGCGCAGTCAGCAAACTGCTGCGAATATTTATCCTGGCACACACAGCGCTCCGGGCATCCCCCAGCGGCAAGCACCCATCCAGACAGAAGGTACAGCACGGCCAGCAGCATTGTCCTGGTGGGGGGGGAAACAGGGGAGAGAGGGGGAGGGGAGAGAGGGGGGGTAGGGAGGGGGGCAGCAGATAGAAGGCTTCGGCGACGGGGAAGTCGCGGCGGTGCCA